ATCAAAAATGACCATAAAGTATATCTTATAACAGAGAACGAAATATTCCTTTGATTGAGGCCGAACCGATGTCATAGAGGCATGCAGTTGATAATTATATTTTGATAACAAGATCTTAGATCAGGCCTCTGATTACATAACAAATGCGTTGGCTAATTCCTAAATACCTGGATCTTTATTCATGGTTTCCAAACTGGTCGAAAAGAGATGACCACCCACATTGAGCTTCAGCATCGTCGAGAAATGAACGTGTTCCAGCTTCTTTGCGACCTCCTCAAAGGCTTCCTTTTCTTTGCGAACTTTGCTTATCTCGCGCCTCAAAATACTGAACGCATCAGTAATGTGCCTGTTTACTTCGTCTAGAGCTACGTCGTTCCGCAAATCTTCCTTTGAACTGCGAGAGAAAGACATCTCTTTCACACGGTTATGCGAGTCACTTTTCTTCGAGACTTTAATGCGGGTAGAAATCATTTCAACGCTCTCCAACTAGACTTAGACAAGTACAAAATGCAAAGAGTTCCAAGAATTAACAAAAGATTCTTTGTCTTCATATTTCGCGGAAATTGCACGAGGTTTTGATTAATTCTCGGTATATCGATTTCTCAGAAACAACTGGACGTTTAGTCCACGTGTAGTAGTACCCTCCCCCCCCCCCCCCCCAAGGTAAAATGGAAGCGAGAGAAGGTCTACGCAAACCCGTCACTAATAGTGTTATGCATAATTATATAACTTGATGATTTTTTTGCGAAGTGCCACGTGTTAGCGCGAAAGTTTATCGAGATAAACAACAACATTGTAGCGAATTCATCTTATATTTTTCAGGTAAATTTTGCAATCAGCTCCGAGTCTAAATGTAGGCTATGCTCCAAGAATATAGAAAAAGATTACGAGCGATTTTTGGCATAGAGTAAGAAGAGGACGATATTCGATTAGCATCGCGCTTACGAAACTACATTTAAACGGCTTTGCTTTCAACTCATTGAGTATCCCATCGATTCGATAGAATTCCGCCTCGCTTAACAACTCCTTGCGAACGACTTTATCGTCCGGTAAGACGAGTTTCCCAGTGCGAAGATAATTTAAGATATGTCGGAAGTGTGTTCCGTCTCGGTCGATGAAGTAAGATCCATCCTCGCCAGGTTTTGTGTCAAATCTGCCTGAAAACATGGTATGTAACATGGAACCTGTGAAAACAATATGAAAAAAAATCTTTCAATACCTAAATCCTTTTTTCAAAAAGAATCAACTACATATACCCAATTTGGCGTGCGGCATCGAACATCACAAAGCAAGCTACATTCGACCGTATCAAAAATGTTTTTAGTGTGGTGAGTTCAGTTGACTAGAAGTAATAGCGGATTATTTAAGACTACGTTCCACATGCCTGCTCGTTTTTAAACAAGCATAGCGACGCAGGTGTAATTTCAGAAGTCAGCCTGCAAAACGTAAGCATCGTTTTGAAAAATGGACTTAAAAATCGAATTCTCTCAACTACTTAAACAGCTGCTTGAATTTATGAATAAACTATTGAATGAAAGCGAACTTTGTACAGTGTATCAAAAAGCTAGATCTCAATTCTTAGTTCAAAATTCAAAACTCGCTTTAAAGTACCTGGATCTTTAGTCATAGTCGCCAAACTTGTGGAGAAAAAATGGCCACCGACGTTAAGTTTCAGCATGGTCGAGAAATGAACATGTTCGAGCTTCTTTGCCACCTCGTCAAACGCATTTCTTTCCTTGTGAAGCTTGTTCGTCTCACGCTTCAGAATGTCGAAAGCTTCTTTGATGTGTTTATTTACTTCGTCTAAGGCTTCATCGCCGGGTAAATCTTTCTTTGAGTTACGCTTCGTCGACATCTTAATTCAAGTGGGTTATACAAAAGGACGGGTGACGAAATCAGTTTTTTTTTTCCTGAGAAGCCCGAGATATATCGTCTATTCTCAGAACTTGCGTGCTGCTTTGATTATTTCAATAACACTTAGCAAAGTGGCGAACTCCTTTTTACGTGACAACAGGAAATGGGCCAATGTAAGGTAATCTGAAATAAAAGGTCAGCGTAGTGTCTGAAACGGAAACCGGGGAATTGCATTCATTACCGTTCAGCGTAATTAATCAATTAACTACACTTAATCATCGACGTTATCATATTAATTTAAAACTTTCATTGTAATTGTATACATTGTTTCGTTTTATTGTTTGTTTTGTCCCATGAGCATTTGCCATACACTTTAAATTCAACTTTGTACTTTGTATAAATCAGAACAGAAGATGACAGTAGAACTGTCGAAAGATGTTTTTAAAAGATGTCGAATATTTTCTTAAACTGTGATTCTATATTTACACCGTTTCGCTAAACACTTTACACTATGTAAGAAACCCACTTTTAGAATGAAATGGATAAATTCAAAAGAAATGCACAGAGGTAAAATAACAATTGAGTTAAGGCCTGACGAGTAAATAAATAAAGATAATGTAGAGTTGTGCAAAAGATAGAAAGGATGTAATACTCTAAGTATGACATTTTTGTGGTTTTGATAGTTCTCTGATTTTCCTGGATCGACGAAAGAACGTATCCTCAGAAAAAAATTTCGTAAAATGATAAGCCACAAAACCTTATCACTTCCGGTCCTGAAATGAGAAAATGTCAACATCGTACCCAGGACTTTATCGGTCTATTTCTTTTTATTTATTTGTTTTTTTTTGTTTTTTTTTTGTTAAGATGGCGGCCGGCCGGTTGGAAATATAACAGTGTTTCTGAAGAGTGATATAAGATCATAAGATACCGATTTAAGATAGAAGTGGCGATTTTAGGAACCGGGCTGGCTCTTGATTTAATGGTTACCAGGTGACTGCGGATTACAAATACACCACGTTATCTCACTACAGAACCAAGACGACAGGAACAACGCTTAATTTTAAAGGGGAAAAGAAGGAGATGACGGTTCTTTTTTCCTTTTTTGTTTTTTTTTTTAATATCACCACGCATAGGTACAAAACATGACCTTCCTTGCTCTAAAGAGTATCAACCTCAGAAAATCTAAAAAAACTTAGAACCCCCATAAATTTACAGGAGAACTGAAGCTAGTTTAAAAACCTTACTCACCCTCCCCGGCTTCCCCTCACAACACCTTAATAAAACAAACTGCCCCTGCCTGCCCCCACTGCCTGCCTGTCGAATACAAATTAAGGCTTCCTTTTCTTTACGAACTTTACTTATCTCGCGCCTCAAAATACTCAATGTATCAGTAATGTGCTTGTTTACTTCGTCTAGGGCTATGACGTTCGGCGAATCTTTCGTTGAACTGCGAGAGAAAGACAACTTAGACTCTTTCGCACCGTTTTGAGAGTCACTTTTCTTTGAAACGCGGGAGGGAAACATTTCAACTTTCTCCAACAAGCCGTCGACGAGTACAAAGTGCAAAGAGTTCCAAGAATTAACAAAAGCTTCTTTGTCTTCATATTTCGCGGAAATTGCACGAGGTTTTGATTAATTCTCGGTGTTTCGATTTCTCAGAAACAACTGGATGTTTAGCCTACGTGTAGCCGTACCCTTCCTTCTGAATGGAAGCGAGGGAAGGTCTACTCAAACCCGACACTTATCATGTTATGTGACGTTACTCTAATCTATGCAGAATTATATACCTTGATGATATTTTTTGCGAAGTGGCACGTGTTAGCGTCAAAGTTTATCGAGATAAACAATAACATTGAAGTGAATTCATTTTCCATTTTTCGGGTCAATTTGAAATTCAGCGTCTGAGTTCAAATAAATACTTTAGTTTGTTCCAAGAATATTGGAAAAGATTACGAGCGATTTTTGGTATAGAGTAAGAATAGGAAGATGTTCGATTAGCATTGCGCTTACAAAACTAGATTTCATAGCATCGCATCACTGTTTGCAAAGAGACCGAAAGTTGAAGGTGGACGATCCTCTGGCCCAAGTTCATTAACATGAATGAATCCCTCTTCAGAGTCGGCTTCCTGAGGCTTAAATTACGCGCTTGACCGCCTTTGCCGGTTTTTTCCAAGACCTAGTCCGACGAGATTAGTCATGGGTTAAAGTCCACAAGACAAATGAATAGAGGGGGAAAATTTCTAGAGAAATTGCTGCGTCGGTAGGAGAGTATAACAGGGTAATTTAGTATTATCAACTGAGTTGATAACGTAAATTGGCCACCGTGGAGAGTTTAAAAGCTAACGTTTCGATCGTCAGCCCTTAGTTAGAGTGATTGGAGGAATTGTGGGTTGGGCGTTTGCTTATATGCAGAAAATAAGCTAAGCTAGTGGTGGGAATATGGTGTCTTCGAGACGGAACGGTTAAACCAAATTCTGCCTTAGGTAATGGGGTTAAATTTCTAAAGAAACTGTACCGCCGCGTTGGTGGGGGTATCTTTGCCGAGAAAATTTCTAAAATAAATCAGTGTTCTAAGTAATAAATTAACATTTCCATGCAGGAGAGACAAGGCTACTACAAGGAAGCTGTTGCGTTCAAATGAATATGATTTGTCTGATGAGCAGGTCATAACTCAGGATAGATGCCTACGAGGAAATTTTATTCTCTTTATGTTATGATGAAGTTCCACAGTTTAAACTTTTTTTTCTATCTCGGGATAATGCGCCCTTTTAGCACTTTGTTGTTTTACATCAAGGTAATAAAAGCGACTTTCTAGGAGCTTTGGGATCAATATCAGTATCTGGGCAACTGCCCACCTACCCCTCCCCTAACCCAACATTAACCCTAAGTTGTTATCAATTGACTGTTGTTGAGTTAGGGGAGGGGTAGGTGGGCAGTTACCCAGATATTGATATTGACCGGGCTTTGTTTTACAAACTGAAGGCCTAACATTTGCTGGACCGTTAAACATATTTGAGCCCTTCCTAGTGTCATGGGCGTTAGGTATCTTTTGCGCTTCTAGCGAGCTTTATATATATATATATATACAACCCGCATTCGATCTATAATGGTAATAGGACTGAGTGGAGTCCAACTGACTGAGTGGATAAACGCAAAGGGGGAGTCCGATTCGTCAATCAAAACAATGACAAAATTTGAGTTTGAAACTTGACATAGGTTATACACTTTCATTAACCTAAAAAACAACAACAACAACAGGGCGCAGTTGAATTTCAACTAGGCGAAATGCGCAGCAACAGCGCGCGCACACGACGTTAATTTGTCCTACTACACTGTCCAAATACAAGCATGGCGCGTTCACTGTCCTGTTAGTGCTCAAATCGGGCTGGTGACAACCAATCATGTTCGAGAATTTTGTTATAGTTTTGATTATGTTTGTCAATCCCCTACTGAAACAGTCGTCGCAAACGTTTCTTTAAATAACTCAGTCTTTCTCAAGTAACAACAACACACTTAACTGACTAGCAAACAATTCTTGAAAATCAAAAGCAAGAAACGAATGTTCACAAGCCAGATCAGTTCCACAAAAAGGTTTTGAAAGCCTCTTACTTCTCCAATCTAGTATAAAAAAAAAATTCACTAACAACAACATAACTAAGAGGAAATTAGTCATTAGCTGATGTTTACAATATCTGTTGTAGTCTCATCAGGAAGAGAAAATTGACAACGATGCCTTTAATTTTTGAACACAAAAACTTCCATTTCATTCACAACGAAGTATTGACTTCCTGTTAAAAAAAGGTTACCATTCTGACCTGCTGGGCACTGGTATGTAATGCCAAGGTTAACGGAGCAGTTGGAGGAATTTGGAGAATCTGGAACGCAAAGATCATGTCCACCTCCAAATACTGGACCACGGCTATTGTGGCAGTAGATGGCACTTCCTTCCTTACCATCTATCAAAGGCATCTTTGTTGGTGGCAAGCCACTGGCATTGACAAGGCTGAACAGGAAAGAACCTGGTGCTCTTTTGTACGATGCAGTATCTGGTAAAAAATATTTACTGAATTAGATTGGTTGTATAACAGTTCTCGGTAGCAAATAGGGACAAAACCAGGACAAGAAATTGTCACTGCAATAATTAACGCTTGCTTGTAGCTGGAGCTATCATTTTCATGTCAGTGCATCACGACCTCTAAAAAATCACTCTGCCCTTAGCTTACTCTAGATGAAATAGAAGTTCACTTCCTTAAAATAAAGGAGGCTTGGTGTTCAACTCTAGAAAGATGTTTCTCATCGAAGACTATGGTAACACCTAGCTGAAAATATACAAAAAAAAAACAACAACCCTGTCATAAGATAGAAGTCCCTCTGAAACGAAAATAAAAACAAAATAAACAAAACAAAACAAATACAAAACAAGACAAAACAAAACAACCAAAAAAACAAAGTAAAAATATAGCTACAACAACAGCAAAAACATCAATGCATTATTCATGGTATTAGGGAGTCCTATAAAACCTGATATTTCATTGAACTGTCAGTCAAAAGGGTTTATCCCTCAGAAATGTGAGCAAGCTGACTCACCGTACAAGAAATGAGGGGGCAGGGGGGCGGTTGGCTGAATCTTCCATTAGTTTTTAATGAAGTTGTGAAAGCAGAAAGCTAACTAAGAAGGTTCTCAAGATTAGGTTGGTGCTGTATACCAGGAAGCTCTCATTTGGGAGTTTTTTGTAGAGCTAGATCGATTGTGAAAGAATCACTTTCTGATCGATTTAAGTTTTTTTTTTTGATATTTTGGCAGAATCATCATTACATTTTCCCAAAAAGAAAAGAAGAAAAAGGGTAGAAGTTCCCAAGCAAAAGACTTCTTGCTTCTGTAATTAACCTGTAAATGGAAAGTAAACAGCAAATTTGAGAGCAGAATATTAGGATGGAGTATTTTATCATAAGGGGGAGAGGGGGGGGGGGGGGGGAGTAAAGGAGTTTGATTCAATGGGGCTGACAGAAAGGTCTCTTACTTGACGATTGCCATGACTGCTCAGTATATCCTCCAAATATGTAGTTTCCATACTTGATCACTGTAACTGTTGGTCCTTTGTTATCACAACAGGAGTGGAAGTTAGAGGCGGCCCATCCATTGCGAGAAGCTCGGTATAACAACACGTAATCGTCGCCTAAGCTTTCGCGTGTGTCCTTCAACCAATCTACCAGGATTTCACGCTGTTCTGAGGAGAGAATTGCAGAATCTTTAAACGGATTTGCTTTCAACTCATCGAGTATCCCATCGATTTGATAGAATTCTGACTCGTTCAACAACTCCTTGCGAACGACTTTATCGTCCGGTAAGACGAGTTTCCCAGTGCGAAGGTAATTTAAGATATATCGGAAGTGTGTTCCGTCTCGATCGATGAAGTAAGATCCATCCTCGCCAGGTTTTGTGTCAAATCTGCCTGAAAACATGGAATGAAACATGGAACCTGTGAAAACAAGATGAAAAAACCTCCTTTTAATACCTAAATCCTTTTTTTTAAATATAAGCAATTTCATTTACCCAGTTTGGCGGGTGGCATCGTACATCACATGGCAAACTATAGTCAGCCATATAAAAATTGTTTTCATCGTGATGTAGTGAGTTAACTAGAAGTAATGGTGGATTATTTAGGACTGCGTTCCACATACCTGTCCGTTTTTAAACCAGCGTAAAGAGCAGGTAAAAGCTCGGAAATCGGCATGCAAAACGGAAGTACCGTTCCGAACAATGGACTTTAAAATCGAATTCTCTCAACTACTAAAACAGCTGCGGACGCAAGTAGGATTTGAATTTATGGATAAACAATTGAGTGGAGGCGAACTTTGTACAGTGTATCAACCAGCTAGATCTCAATCCTTAGTTCAAAATTCAAAACTTGCTTCAAAGTACCTGGATCTTTTGTCATTGTCGCCAAACTTGTGGAGAAAAAATGGCCTCCGACGTTGAGTTTCAGCATGGTCGAGAAATGAACATGCTCGAGCTTCTTTGCCACCTCGTCAAACGCATTTCTTTCCTTGCGAAGCTTGTTTGTCTCACGCTTCAGAATGTCGAAAGCGTCTTTAATGTGTTTATTTACTTCGTCTAAGGCTTCATCGCCGGGTAAATCTTTCTCTGAGTTACGCTTCGACGACGTCTTAATCCAAGTGAGTTAAACAAAAGGACAGGTGTCGAAAGCAACTTTTTTTTTTTTTTCCGAGAAGCCCGAGATATTTTTTCTATTCTCAGAATCCGATTTCTTGGAAATTTATGGTGTATCGATTTCATCATGTATTAATTACTTGGAAAACGTTAATTAGAAATGACTGTGTTTCAATATTTACACAATTTTAAGCTGAACACTACTGACTATGCAAGAAACCTAATATTAGAATGAAACAGATAAAATCAAACAAAATGTACAGAGGAGACAATAACAGATAAGGATGCTCCAAAGGGTTTTTAAAAATGTTGGCGTGCGCGTCAGTGCAACGAATTTTCTAAAAAATGTTTATGTTTTCGCTTTTCAAGGTCACTAAAAGCCATTAAAAGGCTATGAGCAAAGTTCGGACTATCGCTTGCTGTAGTAAATATCATGGAAATGATTTTAATCAATAAGCTAAGACTCCACGAAGGGAGGCGCTCGCCATCAATAATTTGGCTTTGTCTTTGATTTTCTTTAATTTGTTTCTATGAAATCTTTCAAAATTTTTATAATTTGTAAATATTGTCCTGCCGATCTTTTAAAAGCCGAAAAAAAATAGGTTTAAAAGGGCAGTTTCCTCGCTATTTGAAATTTTATAACTTGGTCTTATTTTTCTGTTAACAGGCACTAGAAAGGGCACAAGTATAGTTAAAAGTCCATCAAACCTTTGGAAATTTCATCGAAGGAAACGCGATGAATCTCACTTGAAAGACAGCTATTTTCTTTGTCTTAAAATGTTACGTAATGGAATGAAACTTCGCCAAGATCGGTATCTAAGCTTGCGTAGACTTTCGAATCTGTCGCCCTTTGGCAATCTTTCCCACGGTGTTTCCTTTTCGGTTGATCTCTTTTTCAGGCGCACAAGGCCTATGAATATTACGGATGCAGTTAACTAGAAGTAATGGTGGATTATTTAGGACTGCGTTTCACATGCCTGTCCATTTTTAAACAAGCGTAAAGACGCAGGTAAAAACTCAGAAATCGGCATGTAAAACGGAAGTACCGTTCCGAACAATGGACTTTAAAATCGAATTCTCTCAACTACTAAAACAGCTGCGGACGCAAGCAGGATTTGAATTTATGGATAAAAAAATGAATGGAGGCGAACTTTGTACAGTGTATGAACCAGCTAGATCTCAATCCTTAGTTCAAAATTCAAAACTTGCTTCAAAGTACCTGGATCTTTAGTCATAGTCGCCAAACTTGTGGAGAAAAAATGGCCACCGACGTTGAGTTTCAGCATGGTCGAGAAATGAACATGCTCGAGCTTCTTTGCCACCTCGTCAAACGCATTTCTTTCCTTGCGAAGCTTGTTTGTCTCACGCTTCAGAATGTCGAAAGCGTCTTTAATGTGTTTATTTACTTCATCTAAGGCTTCAAAGCCTGGTAAATCTTTCTCTGAGTTACGCTTCGACGACATCTTAATCCAAGTGAGTCAAACAAAAGGACAGGTGTCGAAAGCAACTTTTTTTTTTTTCCGAGAAGCCCAAGATATTTTTTCTATTCTCAGAATCCGATTTCTTGGAAATTTATGTTGTATCAATTTCATCATGCATTAATTCCTTGGAAAACGTTAATTAGCAAGAACTGTGTTTCAATATTTACACAATTTTAAGCTGAACACTACTGACTATGCAAGAAACCTAATATTAGAATGAAACAGATAAAATCAAACAAAATGCAAAGAGGAGACAATAACAGATAAGGATGCTCCAAAGGGTTTTTAAAAATGTTGGCGTGCGCGTCAGTGCAACGAATTTTCTAAAAAATGTTTATGTTTTCGCTTTTCAAGGTCACTAAAAGCCATTAAAAGGCTATGAGCAAAGTTCGGACTATCGCTTGCTGTAGTAAATATCATGGAAATGATTTTCATCAATAAGCTAAGACTCCACGAAGGGAGGCGCTCGCCATCAATAATTTGGCTTTGTCTTTGATTTTCTTTAATTTGTTTCTATGAAATCTTTCAAAATTTTTATAATTTGTAAATATTGTCCTGCCGATCTTTTAAAAGCCGAAAAAAAATAGGTTTAAAAGGGCAGTTTCCTCGCTATTTGAAATTTTATAACTTGGTCTTATTTTTTTATTAACAGGTACCAGAAAGGGCAAAAATATGGTTAAAGGTCCAGCAAACCTTAGGAAATTCCATCGAAGGAAACGCGATGAATCTCACTTGAAAGACAGCTATTTCCTTTGTCTTAAAACATTACGTAATGGAATGAAACTTCGCCAAGATCGGTATCTAAGCTTGCGTAGACTTTCGAATCTGTCGCCCTTTGGCAATCTTTCCCACGGTGTTTCCTTTTCGGTTGATCTCTTTTTCAGGCGCACAAGGCTTATGAATATTACGGGTGCAGTTACCGGAAACCCTAGATTCCATCACATAAAAAAATGTATTGTGTTAAACTGTTTTCAACACACTTTTTCAGATAACAATCGTGCGATCTTATCGAGCCGCCGTTTTGCATGTTCACACTTTTAAAGCTTGTGCTATGTTCCCACCCAGATCTTGCGCGGTCACAAAATCCTACGGAGCCTCCTTAAGGTAGGGCATGACGAGAAAGCACTAAAATTGATGAAGAATTGTACAAGAGATAGAAACGATGCATTACTCTAAGCATGAAAATTTGTCTTGTAGTTTTCTAATTTTATTGGACCGACAAAAGTAAGTATCCGCTGAAAAAAAAATTGCGTAAATTTTTTTTATTAAAAAAACAATGAATCCCTCCTCGGAGCCGGCTTCTTGTAGCTTATATTAAGCGCTTGGCCAAGCTGATTAGTCATGGGTCAATGTCTAGAAGACTAGTGAATAGACTTAAAAAAGAATAGAATAAAAAACTGTGATGCTGCGTCGGTGGAAGAGTATAGCAGGGTAATTCAGTTAGTATTATCAACTGAGTTGATAGCGTAAATTGGCCACCCTAAAGATTTTAAAGCTGACGTCTCGAGCGTTAGCCCTCAGTTAGAGCGATTGGAGGAACTGTGAGTTGTCTGTGTGTGTTTATATGCAGGAAATAGAGCTACGCTATTAATGGTGTCTTCAAGACAGAACGGTTAAACCAAACCCAGCTCTGAGTTGATAATGCAAATTGTGATGAATTTCAAAAGCTGATGTTTCGAACGTTAGCCCTTTGTCAGAACTGAAGGTACCTTTGCCTAGAAGATATCTTAAAAAAACAGTGCTCTAGGCAATAAATTAATATTTCCAGGTGAGATAAGGCCTCTACAAGAAAGCTGCTAAGTTCAAATAAATATCATTTTTGTCTGATGAACAGGTCACAACTCTGGATAGATGCCTACGAGGACGTTTTCTTCTCTTTATATTTTGATGAAGCTACACAGTTTCAAAATCTATTTGGCTATTTCGGGATAATCTGCTCCTTTACAAACTTTGATGTTTTCACATCAAGGTAGTAAAAAAGCGACCTTTAGAAACTTACAAAAAATATATTCTGCAAAATAAATTTCAGGTTTTCACGATCTTCTTTTTTATGTCTCCTACTTGTGATAGCAGATAGCAGCATTTTCATTATGTAAGACCAAATTTAGGTTGGACTGATTCCTCTCCCTTTGAATAAGTTGAAAATTTATCACTAGGAAACATCCTAACCATGCTCATAAATTCCCACACTGCCCTGACTTTAGCTCACCGCTGTTTATTAAAGAGCTTTGGGATCAATATCAGTATCTGGGCAACTGCCCACCTACCCCTCGCCTAACCCAACATTAACCCTAACTTGTTATCAATTGACTGTTGTTGAGTTAAGGGAAGGGTAGGTGGGCGGTTGCCCAGATACTGATATTGATCCAGGTTTTGTTTTACATATTGAACGCCTAACACTTGCTGGACCGTTAAACATATTTGTGCCCTTCCTAGTGTCATGGATGTTAGGCATCTTTTGCGCTTTTATTGAGCTTTATATACATATACAACCCGCACTCGGTTTATAATGGTAATAGGACTGAGTGGGGTCCAACTGACTGAGTGGATGAACGCGAAGAGGAAGTCAATCAAAACTATGACAAAATTTGAGTTTGAAACTTGTCATAGGTTATGCACTTTCATTAACCAAAACAAAAACAACAACAATAGGGCCCAGTTGAATTTTAACGAGGCGAAAGGCGCGCAAGAGCGCGCGCACATGAGGTTAATTTGTCCTGTTACACTGTCCAATTACAAGCATGGCGCGTTCACTGTCTTATTAGTGCTCAAATCAGGCTGGTGGTAACCATTCATTTTCGATAATTTTGTTATAGTTTTGATTATGTTTGTCAATCCAGCACAGAAACAGTCCTCGCAAACGTTTGTTTTAATAACTCGATCTTGTTCAAGTAACAACAACACACTTAAATGACTAGCAAACAATTCTTCAAAAAATCAAAAGCAAGAAACGATCCCTCACATGTCAGATCAGTTCAACAAAAAGGTTATAAAAGCCTCTTACTTCTCCAATCAGGTAACAAAAACAAATTTTACTAACAACAACATGACTTAGAGGAAATTAGTCATTAGCTGATGTTTACAATATCTGCTGTAGTCTCATCAGGAAGAGAAAATTGACAACGATGCCTTTAATTTTCGAACACAAAAACTTCCATTTCATTCACAACGAAGGTTTGACTTCTTGTTAAGAAAAGGTTACCATTCTGACCTGCTGGGCACTGGTATGTATTTCCAAGGTTAACGGAGCAGTTGGAGGAATTTGGACTATTTGGAACGCAAAGATCATGTCCACCTCCAAATACTGGACCATAGCTACTGTAGCAGTAGATGGCATTTCCTTCCTTACCATCTATCAAAGGCATCTTTGTTGGTGGCAAGCCACTGGCATTGACAAGGCTGAACAGGAAAGAACCTGGTGCTCTTTTGTACGATGCAGTATCTGATAAAAGATATTTACTGAGTTACATTGGTTGAATAACAATTCTCGGTAGCAAATAAGGACAAAACCAGGACAAGAAATTGCCACAGCAATAATTAACGCCTGTGGTTGTAGCTTGAGCTATTATTTTCATTTCAGTGCATCACGACCTCTAAAAAATCACACTGCCCTTACGTTACTCTGAGATGAGAGAGAAGTTCACTTCCTTAAAATAAAGTAGACGTAGTGTTCAGCTCTAGAAAGATTTTTCTTATCGATGGTTTGACTATGCAATGGTAACAGCTTATTTAAAATATGCCAAAAAAAACAACAACAACAACCCTGTCATGAGATCGAGGTCCCTCTCAAACGAAAAAAAAAACCCACACACAAAAAATAACAAAACAAAACAAAGTTAACGAAGAAAACAAAAAAACAAAGCAAACATAAAAACAAAATAAAAATGCAGCTACAACAACAGCAAAGACATCAATGCATTATTCATGGTATTAGGGAGTCCTACAAAACCAGACATTTTCATTGAACTGTCAGTCAAAAGGGTTTATCACTCAGAGATGTAAGCAAGCTGACTCACCGTACAAGAAAGGAGGGGGGATGGGGGCGGTTGGCTGAATCTTCCATTAGTCCATAATGAAGTTGTTAAAGCAGAGAGATTAATAAAAGGTTCTTAAGATGAGGTTTGGGCTGTATGCCAGGAAGCTCTCATTTAGGAGTTTTTTGTAGAACTAGATCGATTGTAAAGGTATCACTTTCTGATCGATTTAAGTTTTTTTGGTATTTTGGCAAAATCATCATTACATTTCCCCAAAATGAAAAGAAGAAAAAGATAGAAATTCACAAGCTTAAGACTTCTTGCTTCTGTAATTAACTTGTAAATGGAAAGCAAACAGCAAATTTGAGAGCAAAATATTAGGATGGGATATTTTATCATAAGGGGGGTGGGGGAGGGGAGTAATGCAGTTTGATTCAGCGGGGCTGACAGAAAGGCTTCTTACTTGATGATTGCCATGGCTGCTCAGTATATCCTCCAAATATGTAATTTCCGCTCTTTATCACTGTAACTGTTGGTCCTTTGTTATCACAACAGGAGTGGAAGTTAGAGGCGGCCCATCCATTGCGAGAAGCTCGGTATAACAACACGTAATCGTCGCCTAAGCTTTCGCGAGTGTCTTTCAACCAGTCTACCAGGGTTTCGCGCTGTTCTGAAGAGAGAATTGCAGAATCTTTAAACGGATTTGCTTTCAACTCATCGAGTATTCCATCGATTTGATAGAATTCCGCCTCGCTTAACAACTCCTTGCGAACGACTTTATCGTCCGGTAAGACGAGTTTCCCAGTGCGAAGATAATTTAAGATATGTCGGAAGTGTGTTCCGTCTCGATCGATGAAGTAAGATCCATCTTCGCCAGGTTTTGTGTCAAATCTGCCTGAAAACATGGCATGTAACATGGACCCTGTGAAAACAAGATGAACAAAACCTTTCTAATATACCTTAATCCTTTTTTTTTCAAAAAGAATCAACTTCATTTACCCAATTTGGCCAAATTCGATGGCGGGTGGCATCGAACATCACAAAGCATTCAACCATATCAAAAATGTCTTTTAGCGTGATGTATTCAATTAATTACTGAAAATAATGGCGGATTATTTAAGATTGCGTTCCACGTGTCTGTTCGTTTTAAGAAAAGTGTAGAGACAGGTGTAAGCTCTTTTAATAGCAGAAGTCAGCCTTCAAAACGTAAGAATTGTTTTTCTCAACTAATAAAACAGCTACGAACGCAAACAGGATTTGAATTAATGGATAAACAATTGAATGGAAGCGAACTTTGTTCAGTATATCAAACAGCTAGATCTCAGTCCTTAGTTCAAAATTCAAAACTTGCTTCAAAGTACCTGGATCTTTAGTCATAGTCGCCAAACTTGTGGAGAAAAAATGGCCTCCGACGTTGAGTTTCAGCATGGTCGAGAAATGAACATGCTCGAGCTTCTTTGCCACCTCGTCAAACGCATTTCTTTCCTTGCGAAGCTTGTTCGTCTCACGCTTCAGAATGTCGAAAGCGTCTTTGATGTGTTTATTTACTTCGTCTAAGGCTTCATCGTCGGGTAAATCTTTCTTTGGGATACGCTTCGAAGACATCTTAATTCAAGTGGGTTGTACAAAAGGACAGGAATCGAAATCAAAAAGAGAAGTCCGAGATAATTCGTCTAATCTGAGAATTTCCGTGCTGCTTTGATCCTCGGTATGTTGATTTCTCGGAAATTTATGGGTGAATCAATTTAATCATGCATAAATGTCAAGTCGTCACGCCATGCATGAAAATTAATTAGATATTGGAAAACGTTAATCATCAATAACTGTGATTCTATATTTACACCATTTAGCTGAACACCACTGACTTTGCAAGAAACCCGCTATTAGAATGAAATCGCTAAATTCAACCAAATGCAAAGAGGAGAAAATAACATTTAAAATTAATGCCTGACGAGGAGATGAATGAAAATAATATAGAACTTTACAAAAGATAGAAAGGATGTATGAAAATGTTATGGTTTTGATAGTTCTCTGATTTTCCTGGATCGACAAAAGTAAGTATCCGCAGAAAAAAATTTCTTAAAATAATAAGCCACAAAACTTACTCAAAGGGTGGATAACGCTATCTTCTGGATAAATCTCTATCTGTTGGATAATGCAGCATTTCTTTTTTAACTCTTATCCGCTGGATAGCGATTTATCCTTTAGATAGAATTTTTCGCCCTCCGGCCTTCGAATGGCCGGGGTTTTGATTATAGAGTATGCATCGGTCCAAGGTGCGATTTCTTAGCCTCTCTTTCTCGGTGTAGAGAACTTGTTATGCTTGAAATTCGAATTTTCCACTCCAGCAGGTGACTGAGGATTACATATAACACTACTTCTCATCTCATTACAGAACCAAGACGACTGAAGCAACGCTTAATTTTAAGGGGAAAAGAAATTTAGATGGAAATGACGGTTCTTTTTTTTTTTTTTTTTTTTTTTTTTTTTTTTTAATATGACCTCGCATAAGTACAAAACACGACCTTCCTTTAAGATCTAAAGAGTATTGACCTAAGATAGTTTTAAAAAATTTGGCAGCCCCATAAATTTTAATGAGAAGCTAGTTAAAAAACTTTACTCACCCTCCCCCCTCCCCAATACAACCATGATGAAACAAACTGCCCCTGCCTGCCCCCACGGTTCCTGTCGAAACACCTTAAGTGACTCTTACCCTTTATTAGTACATTTGCGAGCAGTCTTCTTTGCAAATGTTTTTTCCATCCAGTATGTATTTCCTAGAGATCTCGACACAGAATCAGCACACTCTAGCAAGTTTCCCAGAAGTTTATTCTAAGAATTCTGCCCTCAGGTCTCGGTAACAACTGAACCCTATTCTAAAATGACAAACCGATCGACCATTTTATCAATGTAATTATAAGAAAAACATGAAAAAGACACAATTTTCTGGAAAGCAGTACCGATCGCCCCAATTGCAGAATTATATCAAAGCATTTTCACTGCTTCTCAAAGCCAAAAACTTCCATTTCACTAATGGTGAAATTCTGGTTCCCTTGAAGAAATGTGGCAGCATTCTGACCGGTAGGACACTGGTACGAGTTATTCAGGCTGACACTGCAGTTGTTAGAGTTTGGAGCATTGACAATACGAAGGTCATGGCCACTTCCAAATGTGGGCCCATACCCATTGTGACAGTAGATTGCATTCCCCTCTTTTCCAGTTATTAGTGGTATCTTTGAAGGGGGTAAACTGTTTGGGTTGACAAGGCTGAACAGGAAAGACTCAGGAGCTTCTTTGTAATTGGCTCCTCCAGCTGAACAACAACAACAACAAAAGTCTCGGATTATAAAACGTTCTCTACATTGACCAGATGATTTACCTATCCAAAACGGTCCGAGAGGCTCTTAGAGAAGAGTGAGTAAAAGTTCCTTTATATGAATATAAAACTCTTCTTATGCATTGACATTTTCGAAGGGATTTTTTCTAACAATCTTACACTTTCTCAGCGCAGTCACGATGTAGTCACGTGTGATGTAGATCGCGACGTTTCCACTGCATACTGCTTCTTCAGGCGATGAGGTCGACTGGTCATGCGTGATCTTATGAGCATGATGCTCTGCTGTGATTGGTTGTTTTTCAACAGCTCTGATTGGAAAATGGAAAAAGGATTGAAATGCACCAATCAGAGCTGTTAAAAAACAGCTAATCTCATCAGAGCATCAGGCTTATAAGATCACGCATGACTAGTCGACCTCATTGCCTGAAGAAGATTAAAAGTATGCAGTGGAAACGTCGCGATCTACATCACACGTGACTACATCGTGAGAAAAACGAAAAAACTTCGCTTTTAGAATGCTTTTTGTATTATTCAACCATCAACCGAACAAGTTGGTGTAGACGAAAAAGAAATCGGTCATAACAACCTAAACGGCAAAGTCAACACGGCATTTAAGTTAATGTCAACAATCGCATTGAAAACCACTACCCCCCCCCCCCCCCCCCCCCTTCCTTACTGCACACGTCATTTTCTCTTCAAATCTCTTCGGCCTCGAAACTGTCCCAACGGGAACGTTGCCTCATATAAACATTTTCTTCTGAACTCTAAACTTGCCGCGCGCGGTATAAACTACCCGAAGGTAAAGTCTCGGAGGATAACGAACAATAGTGCCTTTGTCTAAAAATAATTCAAACCATGACAACAGATTCTGCGTGACGGGCAAAATTTATATCAAATAATTTTTGCGGCTAGTTTAATTTTGGGAGGAATGAGACTTTTCATTGGAGAATGGTCACAAGTTAGAATAGCGAGGGAAATTTTGGGCTTACCTCTGTCTTTCCAATATGCAGATGTCACGCAATTCGAAACTCAACTTTTTGTTCGATGAAAACACTTTTTATTCTAATTATTATCATTAATATTTTATTTTTTTATGTCAAAGAACTTCTGGGGGGTTAATTGGCAGTAATGAGCCTTTTTCATAGAGGAATGGTCACGAGTTAAACGAAGCGAGGGATCATGAGCCTACTTCCGTCTTCCCAACATACGGACGTCACGCAATTCGAAACTCAACTTTTTATTTGAAGAAATCAAAAGACTACAACAAAAGTTAGTGAAAAGTACGTTAGAGTTATAAGGACTTACCAGGTTGATCCCATTGTTCTTCAGTGTATCCTCCAAACACGTAGTTCCCACTCTTGATTACTGTAACTGTGGGTCCTTTGCCGTCACAGCAAGAGTGAAAGTTGGCAGCTGTCCAACCATTCTGGGAAGCGCGGTATAACAAAACGTAGTCGTCACTTGCACTTTCGATGGTTTCCTTCAGGAAGTCGATCAGTTGTTTTCGTTGCTCTGATGAAAGGATCGTAGAAGCCTTGAACGGCCTTGCTCTCAAATCTTCAATTATTCCTTCGATCTGGTAAAACTCGGCTTCGGTTAGTAATTCGTTACGCACAATTTTGTCATCTGGTAGCATAAGTTTTCCAGTGCGAAGATAATTCAAGATATGTCGGAAGTGTGTTCCATCTCGATCGATAAAGTAAGATCCATCCTCGCCAGGTTTTGTGTCAAATCTTCCAGAAAACATGGCGTGCAGCATCGACCCTGAGAATA